CAGCTGGGAATCAGAATGTACCAGCACCTTTCGGGCTCCTCCCGCCATGGCTAACCGCAGGCCTTTGATCACCGCCTCATACTCAGCTTCATTATTGGATATCTTAAAGCCCACCGTGGCTTCGAACTCCAAGTAATCCCCCTCAGGGGAGACAAGGACAATTCCTAATTCGGCCCCATTTCTCGCCACCAACCCATCCACAAACAACTACCATATTCCTCCAGACTATTCCTCGACTCTCGTGCCTTCCTGAATAAAATCCGCTAACACCTGCGCCTTTATAGCCCTCCTCGGCTCATACAACAACGAGTATTCACTCTGCTCGACAGCCCATTTCATCAATTGACCAAAAACCAACGGCCGGCTAAGCGTTTCTCCTAGAGGCATGTTCGTTCTCACTTTCACCTTATGATTCATGAAATAAGGCCTCAGTTTTAGAGCGGTTACAACCACCGCCAGAGCGCATTTCTCAATCTCCAAATACCTCATCTCCGCTCCCTGCATCACCCTGCTCACATAATAAATAAGAAACTGCGCTACCCCTTCTTCTGGTAGTAACACCGAGCTCACAGCCCTTTCTCCGATGGAAATGTACAACACCAACTCCTCGCCCTGTACGGGTTGAGCCAATAAGGGAAGGTTGTCTAACACCCATCGCAACTCCTCAAATGCCCTTTGCGCCTCCTCGGTCCACTGAAATTTCGCACTTTTCTTTAGTGTTTAAAATAATGGGCCACTTTTTTCCGCCACCTTCGATATGAAACGGCTCAACCCTGTGATTTGACCAGCCAAAATCTGCACTTCCTTACCATTCACTGGTGACTTCATCTCCATCACCGCACGTACCTTCTCTGGATTCACCTCGATACCTCTCTTGGTTACCAAGTAACCCAAGAATTTCCCTGACTTTACTCCGAGCGAACACTTGGCTGAATTCAGTTTCATCCCGTACCTCCTCAAGTCAAGAACGTTTCCCTCAAGTCTAGCACATGATCCATCTCCTCCTTTCTTTTCACCAACATATCATCCACATAAACCTCCATATTCCTCCCCAATTGCTCCTTGAAAATTTTGTCTACCAACCTTTGATGCGTGGCACCTGCATTCTTTAAGCCAAACGGCATCACCACGTAACAATAAGTTCCTCGACTCATCACAAAGCTCACTCTTTTCCTGTCCTCCCTTGCCAAAGGAATTTGATGATACCCTTGCGAGGCATCCATCAGGCTCAACAACTCACACCCAACAGTTGAGTCGACCAGTTGGTCGATTCTGGGAAGTGAGTATAGATCTTTCGGACATGCCTTATTTAGATCACGGAAATCGATGCACATTCTCCACTTCCCTTCAGCCTTCGACACTATCACCGTATTTGATAACCATTCTGGGAATTGAATCTCCTTGATATGCCCTGCCCCAACAACTTCTCGACCTCCTGGTTGATAATTTTATCCATCTCCGGCCCGTGGTGCCTTCTCTTTTGCTTCACCGGCCTCACTCTGAGGTCGATGTTCAACCGATGCTCAATCATCTCCGCACTTATTCCTGTCAACTCCTCCACCGTATAAGTGAAGATATCAACTAACTCCTTGATCAGAGTAATCAACCTCGACCTATTAGACTCCTCCAAATCCTTCCCTATTCTAAACTTCCTTTCCGCATACCCCTCGACCATCTAGATTTCTTCGACTTCCCCTCCTGGCTGGATATCATCCTTTCTTTTCCCTTCTCCAACCTCTACCTATCCTCTTTTGATCTCGACCCTCCCAATCGACTAACCTCTTCCTCTTTCAGCTCGGCCTGCTTCCTCGCCAGCTGTTTGTTGTTACTCACAGTGGTTTGGTAACAACTCCTCGAGGTAAGTTGATCCCCAACGATCTCTCTGACGTTTTCGCCCACAGGATACTTGATCGTCATGTGGTACATGGATACGACAGCCTGGAATGCATTCAAACTTGTTCTTCCCATTTTAATGTTGTAAGATGATTCAGCTCCTACGACCAAAAACCTCACCATCCGGACTTTCCTCATCATTCCTGATCCCAACGCCACGGGCTGGCTGATCTCACCCATCGGCATAACCTCTCCTCCGTTAAAGTCGTAGAGCGTCGTGCCCATCGGTTTCAACTCCATGTTCAGCTCTTCGTTAATCTGTGAAAAACAGTCATAAAACATTACATCTATCGAACTCCTAGTATCAATAAACACTCTCTTCACATCAAAGCCCACAAACTCCGCGGTAATCACCAGAGCATCATTATGTGGTTAGACCACTCCTCAGCATCCTCCGCTCTAAAACTTATCACCGGCATGTGAGCCGTAATTCCCACCTCCTCTCTCTTCCTTTTCACAACTCGATCATGCTCCTTCCTGGCATTATTTGAGTTGCCATTCGTCGGCCCTCCGGAAATCATATAAATCATTCCTCTTTTCAACGGGGCCTCTCCTCCTTGGCCTCCCTTGTCTCCATCTCTTCTAGGCCTCTTTACTCGACCATCTCGACCCTCTCTATGATTCCCCTCATCATCTCTATCACTTCTCTCTTCCGAATCCTCCCGACATCTACTCCTCCTTTTTTCCTTCGCCCTGTCATGATACACAAACTCTTTCAAATGCCCCGCTCGAATCAACCTCTCGATCTCATCCTTCAAATGCCTACAATTCTCCGTGGTATGACCATAATCTCGATAAAATCGGCTATAAATATCTGATCTAGGTTGAATCGGGCCTGTAAACCTCGTCTTCGGACACGTCACTGTAACGTCCCGTTTATTGGAGAATTATTTATAATTAATTACTAATTATTGTCTTTATTATTATTATTATTATTATTACTATTATTATTATTATTATTATTATTATTATTATTATTATTATTATTATTATTATTATTATTATTATTATTATTATTACTATTACTATTATTGTCCTTGTTATTTGTTTAATTGTTATTAATTGCCTAATTGTTATTTATTGCCTATTATTAATAAATGATTTTTGGTTGTGTTGTGTAAATATATAAATATATCCTGATTATCGAATTATCGTTTTTAATTTCATTTGAATAGTCTGGTAATTGCTCGACAATTTCCAGTTAGACTTATTATTAATTAATTAGATGTTCTCTAATTAGTTCAATAAGTCGCATTATATTTAATTGTTCTTCGTCAAGCGATTAGTTCGGAATCCTTGATATTCGTGTCTCTATTATCCCAACCATTTTCCGAGCGAATTTTAAGTTGGATAATCGGCCAAATAATTTACTTTTTGAGCTCAATTGAAAGAATTTCTGGCCCATTTCAGTTGGGTATTTTTCGGCCCAATTTCCATATATTAATTTCTTGGCCCATTTAATTATGCTTAGCTCTTTGAGGAAAAAAAATCTCTTTTCTTCCCCAGCCACCAAGACCCGTTCAAATTATCTGTTGCAATTCTTTTGGGCGAGAAATCTCGCACGTTCGCTCGTCTTCAAATATCTCTCCAGAGGAGTTCCAGCGTGAGTGAAGAATATTCGTCTCCTCTGCTCTAATCTCTCTCGTTCAGTTTCTTTAAAAAATAAAAATAAATTCACGAACCTGCAATTCTCCGGTGAGAGCTCCGTTTTCCCGTCGTCCGCGTACAGCATGTCCGCCGCCGCCGAGGAGTAGTAGAACACCATTTCAGGGGTCCGCAGCAGGCCCGTCGTGAAGAGCTAACATAAACTCCATCTGCCATTAATTCCGGTGACCACCATTGTTTCCGGCCACGTGAAGCTACATCGTCCATCCTTGGCCGGCGAGCAGCAACCCTTCACCGCCATCATTACTTCCACGCGGATTGTCGCGTGAATTTTGTGTAGACGTCCAAGCCAGCCAGTAGCAGGACCCGATCGTTCGTCTCAGCCCTTTTCTCGTCGAGAGAAGTACTTCGCAATGACCTTCCACCGATGATCCCCGTCGGTTTTTCCTATTAGCAGTAGTCCGCCCGGAGTCCCGTCAATTCTTC